AATATTGTGTCACGTGCCATAAATGGCACGCGTGCCATTGGTTCGCCATCCCTGTTCTATAACATGAAAATGCCTTAAACGATTCTCTGAATCATTGTTATTTGTGCCTTTGTTCAAAAAACGCGCTAAAAAGCAGCAGAAATTTCAGAAAAAAATATCAATAAAGGAAACGAAGGAAATAAAAATAAAAATACGACCACCGAAGCCGACGTCTTCAGGGGGTACAGGCCTCCGTAGCCATAAAAACAAAACCATTTCTAATTGAGGGAGAAGCAAATGCCTAAATTAACTCCCTCAGTACCCCGATGGTTTTGTATAGAAGTCCAGGAAAAAACATGAAATACAAATAACAAATTTAGAGAAGAAACTCAAACAAAATCATCAGAAAAATAAAAACTCACTTAGTCACAGGTCAAACATCGATTTCACAAGCAAGCCGAATGAAAAGAAAACACTNCTGCAATATACCGCCAATCGCTGAAACTGCTCCCCCACTGGCTGCGTGTTGTTGCCCCACCCCCCTGACGATGCTGCCATATATGTCGGTGCATCCACTTTAATTTGTTTTTAATATTTTTCCTTTTTGTTAGTTAGGTTGCTTTTTCTAGTAAAGCTTTATTTAGTTTGTCATTTAGTGTTAATGATTCTGGATGTCTTCTGTTGTGTTGATACTTTTAATTCTCGGATGAGGTAATAACTCACGACAATCACGTTGATTATCATATGACATAACTGGATAAAATTTCGTAAATCTAGCTTAAATATTCAAGGTAAAATGGACATTTTTATAAAAAAAAAAACTAATTTTTTGGATTTACATTTTCTTACTATAACTGCAAAAATATTCAATGAAATTAAACAGAATTTTTGGAGTAATTTTTAATTAGTAATGAAAGTATTATATAATATTATATCATAAGAAATTATTAAAAATGGTGCATGATATCAGTATTTAAAATAATGCTTTCATACTGCACATCTGCGAAAAATTATTTAATTTTTTTTTCTGAATTTTATTTAAAATCGTATTTAGTTTCTGAAAAAAATCAGATCAAAATATCTTGAAAAAGTAAAAAGTTTCCAGCAAATTTCTAAAAAGTTTTTTTACTTTTTCATTAAAAGCTCTAATGATAAAGGGTTTTTCACAAATTTCATTTTGTATCATAAAACAAAATTTCATATGAAATAATACCCTAAAATGATGGTCCGGACAACAAATGATGGTACTAGGAAATAAAACATAATTTTATAGGGCGTGGTCCTATATAATGCTGATGACATTTTTAATAAATTTTGTTTAATAGTGCAAAATTAAAATTCTGTAAAACCTTTTTCCATTTAAAAACTTTTTTTAATTAATAAAAACTACTAAGAAAGTTGCTAGAAACTTTAAATTTTCAGGATAACCAAATTGGACTTTTTTCATATGTTATCAAATACATTCAAAACAAAATTATGAAGAAAAAAAACTTACATGTTTTACGTTGTTGTTGTTGTCATATGCCATTAGGGCAAAGGGGGTGCACTTCTTCTAATGTTTTCCGTGCATACGCATATGAAAATATCATTTTAAATACTACTCATATTTTGCGCAATTTTTAATGATTTTTTTTTTCGAATTCTAAAATGATATTTTTCTTATAAATTAAAAATTACTCGAAAAAATTTAGCTTAATTTTAATAAATATTTCTTCAGTTAAATTAAGAAAACGTAAGTTTAAAAAAAATTAGCTTTGTAAAAAAATTTCCATATCTCCATGAATATTTAAGCTAGTCTTACAAAAAAAAATTTTTGGTTAATGGCGATCACTTGGGTCTATTTCCCATTGACCTCAGAAATGCCAGAATTGCTCTTATCGTAACCCAGTGAGCACCTGTGGCTAAGCCACGGTGGTGGAGTAGTGTTCGCCGCCGTACTAAAAGCCATAGGCTAAAAGTAGTGGGCATATTATTTATTCTGATTCGAAAGCTTGTTTTTTACAATCGGAAATAAAATCTGAAAATTTTCGAAATAGCAAAAAGAAAGAGTAAATCTTCAGGTACTCGAAACAAAATTTCTTAACGATGTGACCAAAATCAGAAAGTTTTCTCCCGAAGGGTAACCTCTCCTGTCAGTTCATTTTTGAAAAGTTTTCAGAGCGGGAACTAGCCATTTCCGCTTAAATTTCTCCTCTAAGGTTGCTGCACACTGGAGTAATCGAAATTTTGAGCCCCCTAATTCCATTAGTTACCTTAAAAAAGTAGTATTTTTAATTTTCTTACTTCTCAAATAATCGTTAATAGAGCACCGATTACCTTCAAATTTTGGATTCTGTCTTTTAAAACAGAGCAGATTAAAATGGTGTAAAAATTTGCATACCTTAAAATTCATTTTAGCTGCACATTTAAATACTACAGTGTTAAGCTGATCTTGTTAAATTAGCCTTGTAGCTTTTGTGATGCTTTAGTCTCTTTTACTGCGCTTTACTGTTTTAACCCTTTTTTTTAATTGTGATTTCCTTTTAACTCTATAAGGGTCTTTTGACCTATAGTTTTAAATCCGTTAAGTTTATTTTTTCATAAGTTATTCTGTGAATATCTTAGTAACTCTATTTTATGTAAAGGTCCTTTGACCATGAGGGACAAAATCTTGTTTAGCAATTTTTAGCTGGCAGTAGGCGCAACTAGGGAATGTATCAAACTGTTTCATATTTTAATTGTTTTCTTATACATTCTTACTCGCCCGCCATGTTTATGGGCTGTTGCCATGCAGTTTATGTATTTTATGTTTTGTACTGATTTTTTGGACTTTAATAAACATTTATTCGTATGACCTAAATTGGGGCAGGTCGGGGTAAATCTTTCATACCTTAAAATTCAAATTTTTTTTAGTTCCTTATTAGAATAAATTGAAGAAAAATAATAAATGATTATAAATCTTTATTTTTTGCTCGGAATTATCTTTGGAAAAGCACGTTCCATAATCGTGTGCAAAACTCACTTGAATTGCTTCATAATTCAGAAGGTACGACGAAATACGCGAAAAGTAAAATCATATCTAGGGCCACAAACTTCAGATCACTCTCCTACATATAATAGTTGCGACATTACTTTCCAAATTATGGCTCGCAACCTTATTTTGAGGGTCAAAAAGTCGGATCCGTCGTTTACGAAGAGAAAGTAAGTTTTTATGTTTTATTTCATGATTTCAAATTTAATTCATTAACATATTTAATGATGAGCCTCACAAAATAAATCACGATGGCTCAGTGGTTACGGTATTGGGCTGCCATTATGAAGAGCTGGAGTTCGATCCCCAATGGCGGCTTGAAGATCACCCAGCTTCAGAACGATGGGTACCAGCTTGTCTGGGAATTAAAGGCGGTCGGTACTCAGTGCTGCCCCACATTGCCGTTGGCCATGAAATTTTGAATCCTTATCCTTCATGACCCTCTGGGCCCACGACGGTCTATTGCAGAAATACTTTACTTTTTATTTAAAATCAAGCCCTCGAACTATTAAGAATGAATCATAGTACGTACGTGAAAATTTGATTATTAGATAATAAGTTATTAAGGATATTCGCTCTCCTATTTTGCGCAGTGTACCTACAGACAATATTAAAACTTAACTGCAAAAAAAAATTTTTGAAATTATTATTTATTTAAACTTTTTCGTTCTTTTTCTCTAAAAATAGATTGCAAGATACGCAACAACTCCATATATCTACACTCAAAAACATACGTTTTTTTTTTCAAATGACATTTATTGCCATAAATGACAATTTTATATAATTTAATAATTTAAGTTACAAATTAAAAAATTACTAACATGAAATCGCAATAATAAATTAACGAAACATTTGAAGAAAAAAAATACAAATTCCAAAGGTGAAGAAATGTTTTAACTAATGTATCTTTATTTACTTTTAACCATATTATTCTATTAAATATCCTCTTTATTATCCCTCTTATTGAAAGCTACTTGTCCAGTTTTTTTTTTCATTACTTGCTTTTAAAAAGATTTTTAAAAAAAAAATTGTCGCTTATATTTTGTTCACGGATTTACCCATACCTATATTTAACATATATGTGGCGTTACATCTATAGTGCTTTTAAAAAATTATATTTACTAATGAAGAATGCCTTTTAGAAGATAGATGCGATACACACAATTACATGGTGAAGTTTTGGCCATAAAATTTTACAGTCAGGGTCTTACCTATCAGAATTAGATTGTATGCACAAAATCGATTCCATTTTTATGAGTTGAGTTAATCCCTATGATATTATTATTTAAAAATAACATTTATTATTTTTAAATACAAATGCAAAACAAATCAATCAATTTATTTCACGAATCATGCCCAGAAGTTTAACTGCTAAAATTGTCCGTAATTTTTTAATTTAAATAAGCAAGAAGCGTAGAAAAAAATTTACACAGAGAAAAAAAAATCACATTTCATTGACTTGCTTTGGTTAAGAACAAGCAATAGAAAGAAAAAGCGAGCATTTTGAAAACCTCTTTTTTTCACTTTAACTACACAAGAATACTGCCCTACAAAAGAAAAATTAACGTAAGTGACAAAAAATTCAAAATTGAGATTTTTCTATATTTGGCATCCAAAATTTATGATAAACTACATGGTGCAAAAACACTTTTTTCAAAAATAAATTTTGTTTTATCAGTTTTGTGAAATTTCATTTTAGCGTTCATTAGTAGAAAAAAGTTGTCAAGCTACTTTTCTCGGAATCTATCGTGAAGCACTTATGTTGTTTCTTCAATTGCTCGGCATAATAGTAATGATATTTATCTTACTCAACATATTTAGTATAAGAAAGCAAATGTAAAAATCCTTTAAACTTAAATAATTTTTAAAATAAGCGTTAAGTAATAAAAGATTTTAAAAAAACATTAAATTATTGAAAAATTTATGATTTTTAAAATTTAATAAATTATTCAAAAAGTACTGAAAATACTGAATATTCTTGCATTGCAACAGGTCAAAAATACATACTTACTAGTCGAGGTATAAGGCTATGAAGAAGAAAAACAGTTTCAGTTAAAAATGAATTGTTTGCCTGAAAAACTAATTTGGGAAGTTTTCATGCATGTTCTACAACACTAAAGTCATGACTATCTGTGCAAACAAATACACATGCCCGGAATCACCATTGAACATTGAACTATTATCGACTCCCATTGTAATCGTTTTTTGGAAGCATTTTACTATTATTCTTATCAGGACCTGATAACAAGAAAAGGTAATTCTCAAGATAAAGAGAACAGCCTTTTCTTTTGTATTATTTTACATTCACAAAAAAGGAAAGGTTCTAATCAGGTAAAATATTAAAGGGGAAATGAACCACGTGTTAACACAATTGATACATGATGTAACATATTACACATGTTAACATTTTATAATTTAATGTTTAAAATTATTTTTCTTCTCATATGAAATTTAAAAGCGGCTAATAAATTATTTTTACACATATTTTTTTAGTTTCACCTTGAAGCATTAGTTGTGGTAGCAGTTAGTGGTATGCTCGCGAAATTATCTTTATTTATCTTGGAATTTCTTTGTTAGTTCCATTGATTTCAAAACAATTATCGGTATAATCGTATCTTAAATACTGTTTCAATCAAAAACATTCATTTTGATTTTGTTACTGTTTGAAATATATATATATATANTACGTTCGCAAATTCACCATAAAATGTCGCACAGCATATTCTTCAATTACGATAAGCTACATTTACCACCAAATACTGCTACTATGATTATTTTTGTTATATATATATATATATATATATGTATAATTATAATGTATGTATTCTATTATTTGTATATAATATGTATATATGTAAAATTCTAATCAAAAAATATTACGAGGTTGCCTCAACTTCTCAACTTTCAAGATCTCGGATCGTTAAGTTTTTGATTGGTGTTTTCTTGATATTTTTATGTACTTAACGAGCTTTTGTTAGTACGGAAATAGAGCTTGATTATTTTCAGAAATTCTATGCATTTTTCCTCTAAACTTTAAAGCAATTAAGTTATGTGATTTGTGGTTATGAGTCAGTAATTTAAAACTGCACATTTTTCAGGTTTTAAATTTTTTTTTATTTAATTTTACTACAGTTTAAACTTATAAAATAAATAAATAACTAATAATACAGTTAAAACTGAAAGTGAAAACCGATCTGGATGATGCTAAAAAAAATTTATGATAATTTTACAAGAAGAATTATATTTAGATCTAAAATACAAAAGCAGGCAACTCTATACTGTTTAACTACCTTTCCAAAACTTCTGATTGCAAAATTGTATTGGTATAATTTTGTTAGAGGAAATAAATATATGATTTTAAATACCACGAGCTTTATGTCTCAAATTCCGATAGAGTGACGGCCTCGAATTTTACTTGTTTAGAAAGAAACTGCCAAATAGAGTAAATATCCACCATCAGCTTAATTGCGAAAATTGAATAAATAGGATTAAAAGCATATTTAGAATATTCTTCTTCGCTGACACTCATGTTTAGTCTATATTTTTATAATAATTTTATTTATATATTCATTTCTTTCGCGAACATCAAAACGCGAGTATTTTTCTATCTAAAATGGCAGCACTATAAACATGATATTAATTAATTTTGTTAGATTGTGTTAAGTAACAATTCAAGCAGTGTTAAATAATTAGTTACACATTAAGTATTTGCTTAGATTCATTTTTTTACATTGTTTTAAAATATATTTTAAGCAGTGTGGAATAGGTAGTTATACGCAAAGCAGTAATGAGATTTAGCCGGTACGCACTGATACGCATGTATCTGTTCTTAAAATTTCTAATGTACCGAGCTCCAATTCCTAAAAATTTGCGTTGCTATTGTATTAAAACACTAAATTTCGTCTGGAGTTTAATTCGTAGTTTGCAAAAATAAGTGTATTGTGCATTTTTACTGTTTTGGAGCATTTAATAATATATTGCAAAAATTTTTCTAGTAATTATTATTGATTTAATTATAAGTGAAACGACAACAAACTTTAGTGGTCTATTTTTCAGAAAATTCTAAAACAGATTCCGAATTGTTTGAAGGGACAACGTAACAAGAAACGGGATACCACGTCTACGCAGAAGAAACATTAAGTATTAACCAGGAAAACAAAACTAATTTTCCTGAATTTTTGACACAAGAACAGTTTTAATATTTTTCTTAAAAATATGAGGGGATTAATTATCGTTATAGGTAAATTTTTGTGTGGAAAAGGATATGACAAAAGCCAAAGGCATTCATGTTTCTAAAGAATGGAAAAATTGTTAAGTAGAGTCTTTAAAAAATTTTTAAAAAAAAAAACGAAATGATTACGACGTGAAGTAAACAAAAACCAGCAAGTCACTTAAAAAAATTTATAAAATAATCAATTTAAAGTTTAAATAAATGCTTTTTTTACCTACTATTTCATGTTCCTAGTATGTTCCATAATTACTACTTTTCTTTTCTTCCTCTAATAATCTCCGAATAATAATCCTCCGAAAAATATTTTAAGAATACCGGTTCTTAAATTAATTGAATCCCATCAGACGATAAGTATTTATTTAATTTTGATTTTTTTTATTGAAATGAAAACTCAGTTACGAAGTATTTTTTAGATTAATTTTTATCCTTTCTCAAATAGCTGTAGAAATTTTAAACATAAATGGTGCCACGGTACCGCATATTGTCTGACCAATTATTGGAGAATGAGCTTTACTTTTTCGAACAATATCATACATTTTATACGATACTCAAGTAATGGCTCGAGTGGTGCGTGAGGAAGTAGTACAACACGTAATGAAGCATTGGGCTGAGTTTTTTTTATCTTATCTCATGACAGAAATAGAAATAATTTTAATATTCCTGATGCTTTCTTTGCAAAAATGTCCCAAACTTCTACTTATGGTGTTTTGTGGGATTTAGTGGCTGCCTGATTGATTTTAAATTATTATAAAATTAAATGCATGGTGAACTTTGACTTTGTCATAGTATCTCTTGAAAATAGTTAAAATTGAAATCAAAGTACTTCCACGCTGGCAAAACCGGGGGAAATAGCTAGTTTTGATAGTAGACCCTGTTATGGTTTCCATTGTTGACTAAACAATAAAAGAATGTGAGAGCTGATTTCATTAAAAAGCATCAAAAATACTTTAAGAATTTCACGATCGTATGTAAGTATGCAAAAAGTAACAGTACAACAATAAGTATAGCCATAGAATTTTTGAACTAAATTGCTTTCGTCTTAGCGAGAAAAATAATTAAAAAATTGCTAAATGACTTTTCATCATTTTATTACCTGTAAAACTATTGTTAATAAATTTATGTTAAACGTGAAGAATGTGCTATGAATAATTTATAAATCTATAAAACCTAAAAATTCATCCATCTGATTTTGATACCATGATAAATTTTTCAAGAGCATCAATGTTATCCAGTAAATGATTATAAAAAGATAAATTTTTTTAACATTTCTAACTTAAAATAAGGTTTTTAACATTTTTTTTTAAAAAAGATATGTGATAATTTTTTTGAATTTCTACTCTCTATACTTTTGTTTTTTAAACATTTCCTTTATTTGTTTTTGGTAATATGGTTTGTATAATAATTATCAAATGAAATGTCTTTATATATTAACCTAAATAAGTAGAAAAATAAAAAATATGACAATCCTTTGCGATATAATGGGAATCTTTTTTCTTGCCTTTTCTTTGGTTGAAATTTTAAAAAAGAAAGGTGAGCTTATAAAATTAATATCTCGATCATAAAGCAAGTCTTTCAACTTAAAATTGAATAGCTGTCGTTTAAAGTAGAAAGTGAGAAAAATGCACGAAAAAACACGTAAAATTGCAATTAAATATTAAGCTCATCAATAAAGATTTTTCCAGTGTGATCATTTCACCTCTGCAGCTATGTTTTTCTGTGCTCCAAAACTGCATGTGTGTGATTTTTTTTTTTTTTAAATTAATAAAAGTTAATTTTGTCCGTCATACTTCCTGTACTTATTAGTGAGATGTAATTTAACAAGATAATTTTTTTTATCACTTTTGTGTAAGAGGCGTCTTAAAAACCATTTAAAATTAATTGTTAGAATTCGAACTTATATATTTCAATGACACAAAATTGACGCATTATAGTGAGTTTATTATTCGAATTAGAAATTCTTTAATTTTTATTTTTATGCAGCACATATATTTTCTTTTAGTTCAATATTTTTTTATCAACTTAATATAATTATTTTTAAAGACACTTTTCGTTAATTTTAAAAGTTTTAGTATCGGTTTAATTTATTTTTACTTCATAGCAACAAACAATTTACAGTATGTTTTGAACGCGAAATTTATATACTGATTTGCTTCAAGCATAAATTTTTAGATAAGATTTGATAGACGAGCTATATTTAATATCTCCAAGAAATTCTATTTCATATGAAATATCGTTTTTTATTACTTACTAAATAATTTGAAAAATAGCGAGGGATTTTTTAAATTTTTCATTTCTTTGTATATGCTCTAAACCAGGGGTTTCCAACTTACATGAAGCCGGGGGTGACAATTAAAAACACCAGTCAAATGGCGGACCGCAACTTTGTCAAAATTTTATATAGGACCATTTTATGTTTGAAGGAACATTAAATATTACTGTCAGATTTTTATCAAGTTGTTAAAAACAAAAGTATTGAAATACAAATAATAATAAATATTTTCTTGAATAAATATCTTCTTTTATGCAAAACCTGAGAAATAAATTTTTCTTTTGCACCGTTGGTATGTTAAATTTCACAGAAACAAAGAAATTAGTTTTTTTTTTTTTTTAACGAAAGAAAAATATTTTAAATCCATATAGATGTTTTACGAAAATTGTCCGTAAAAAAATAATAACTAATATATTCTAGTTCGCAGGCTACAAAAAAAAAGGTTTCGAGGGCCGGATGCGGCCCGCGGGCAGTCAGTTGGCAACCCCTATATCTAAACTAAACTATTTCATTTGATTATCAAAGAACTTCTTAAAATTTAGCACAGTATTTTGAAGGCAACATAGTATCAAATGCATAAAAATATTAAAAAGTTACAGATTGTTACAGTAAAAATTTTATTCTAAATCTAGAATTTTATTCTTTATTCTCTCTCTCTCAGTATCCCATGCTTTCCCCTCCCCTACAAAAAATCTTTCGGGCAACGCGTCCTGCATTCAACTGACAGGAAACCCTTATGAAAAAATCGAGGTATAAATGAGGTATAAACGAGGTATATTTTAAAGGTATAAAAGAGGTTGTTATTTAAATACGTCGTTGAGGATGAAAAGGGTGCACATGAATACCTCAAAACCAATCTCAAATATACCTTAAATATACCTCCAGAGGTATATATGTTTCAACTTGAGGTGTAATTTTACATCTGGGGAGAGGTAGATATTTACTATTTTAAAGTGTTTCATTTTCAACCTTAGGTTATTGCTCATCAGCCAGAAGTATATTTTTTTACACTTGTGAAAGTATTTATTCAACAACCTAAGGTGTGTCATTTTACACTTCAGGTTATTATAAATCAACCTCAGGTGTATTTTGTTCGACTTCAGGTAATTANTCATTTGTCTTTAATGCTTATGGCTGTTTTAGTTGACTGTTAAAGTTTTTAAATGTTTTAGTTTTTAGCTCCTCTCGTGTCTATATTATTGAACATAAAAAGAATAAACATTGTGTTATTTAACAACTTACTAATTTTTATAAGTGAATTTAACAATCAGAGAAGTGTAGAGAGTCGTTCATCTGTCTTAGATAGTTTGATGTACATCCTTCTGTATTTTATTAGTATGCCTTATATTTTTTGGTTCTACTTAATTTAGTTAAATATTTATCAATAATCATATATTATGCGTCCGATGTGCTATCGTATTAATGGAAAGATTACCGTATCATGATCTACGGCAGAATAATCGCCAAGTCTTAGCGATTTCCTTGCTGCGGCTTGCAAGAAAATAAAAAATTAATAAACAAAAATCAGAAAAAATTCACAGAAGGGGAAGAATTCGAAGGGTGATCTGTCACCCTGTTTGTCACGCCACCTACAATCCCCAAGGTACCAAATAGATTTTAAATTTGCGCATTTTTTAAAAAAAAAAATATTGATGTCTTACGGGGTGCCTACGAGTTATACCTTTTGAGATGTATGTATGTGATGTATTTTTTCGTTTCTTGCAGGCCTCTGTACGGCAGTTACCTAGACTTGGCGATTATTCTCTCCCTTGTATTCACTGCTGTACTGGGGAAATTTCCGTACTGTGATCTGTGGCAGAATAATTGCCAAGTCTTGGCAGCTTCGGGACAGCAACCTGCGAGGAACTTTTTAAAAAAACATCGCACAAAGGGACCAACTTGAAAGGTATAACTCGTAGCGACCCCCGGGCAAGCATCTACATGATTTTTTTTAACCAAAATTGCAAGTTTAAAATCTGTTTAGCACCTTGGCAGTTGCAGTATTGACAGATCACGATACGGAAATATCCCCCAGTACTAGCCTCTACATGTTTTTTGGTTTTTTTCTTAATAACAAGTTTAAAAGATCCGTTTGACGCCTTGGCGATTGTGCTTGATGCAACAGATATTGAAATCTGAATCTCTCTGTAATAATGAATGGATTGTTTATTTTTTTTGTAGTAAATGCAAATTTTTATTTAGATATTAGTATTGACGCCATAAAGTAAAATTAATTATTAACATTAAGAAACTCTTCAAAGAGTAGGCTGATGTTTGATTTTGTTTCTTTGACGAAAGATGGAACTGGTACAAAAAGGCAGGTGTAGTATTTCGTTTTCGGTGCACCTGTACTAATAGACAATGTAGCAAGAAGGGAAGTGACAAAAATTGTCTAAAATCATTCACTCAGAAAAAGTTTAACAATAAAAAAAAAATTTAAAAATTGGCAATGTTTGAAGGATATTTATCTGAAAATATAGAAAATGAAAAGGGCACATCAAATGCAAAAGGTAAAAAAAAAGAATAATGAAGAATGAACACTGAAAGAATACAGAGATGAATAAAGCTGCAGCTGCAGAAATTCTAACCTTAATATTTTATGTCTAATCAAGAGGCTTAATTATCCAGAATTAGTTTTATTTCATTCTGATACAGAAGTTTAAAATTAAGAGAAAAACAAGTCTGAAATTGAACCTATTATATATTCTTTTACCTTTTTGTTTTTAATTATTTTTTCCCTTAAAACATGATATGCTATATAATAATAACATGCATAGTATATTTTATGATAATATCTTATGATATTAATAAAATTTTTAAGTTATAAATAAATCTTTTTTATAACTATTCAGAAGCAAAAATCATTAAGATATTTTAATGCAAAAGGTAGCCAGTGGAAATAATAATAAAAAAAAGTGGCTGTCAAATAAATTTCCTAGCCTTACCCTTTAGAGCTGCAGCCACTTGGTTCAAAATTATTTTTTAATTTTTTTCCAAGCCTCTTGACTATATGTTGTATTTTAAATGAGAAGAATGAATGTCTTTCCACAGACAAATATATCATTGTGTATAGCTTCTTTCTGCCTCGTCTTTTGCATCGGTGGGTAACTCCTTTTCTGGACCAGCACCAAAACCCTAACACACGGGATCTAGCAAGACAACTTTACCGTCCATGATGCGTAATTAAAAGCATTAAGTTTTGGGAACTCTGTCAGTCCCTCTAAAGTATTTTCTTTTCAAGTCAAGCAGGTTCGAATTTTGTGACTTAGGTCAGCATTCTTTCTTCTGAAACAAAAAGGCTCACATCACCCAACTATGACCAGGCACCTTTTTAGTTGCTCTAACTTTTGATCTTCATTTTAGGAATGTAACGTAATTTTGACCCCGGTCAGATGGCGCAAACAACGCCTGAGCTGGTTCCACTCCACATCACAACCAATGAGAGGACTTTCAACCACGACAGAGTTAATGTGCTCTTTGCTGCGTGTACACGGCAGTTGTTTTGTCGGCTGCTGAGTTCAAACTCACTACCTCAGTCCTCCAGCTAGCGATGTGAGTGACGCCTTAACTGACTGTACCACCAGAGTGCAACAAAAGGACCCTTAACCTTTATTGAAGCATGCAGTTGCCAGGGCTTCAATGCTTTAATAACTCTAGGCATAATAATCAAGGATGGATAACAGACATTGATGTCACCAGGCATAATAATGAAGGCAAATCAAAAAAATTAACTTCATTTATTAAATATAATTAAATAAAAATAGCATTCTGCGATTACAATATTGTACAAAAAACAGCTGATGAAAAAAACATGGAATCAGATAAATTTTTTCCATATTACATTCAATAAATTAAAAAAAACATGTGGCAGTTTGCTATTGATCGCACACGTTTCTTACATTTAATGACGCAATAGCGAACTCCTACTTCTTTCTGTTTGTTAGTTTATCTTTTTTGAAAGAGTAAAAAATCTATCATTCATAACGCTTCACCTGTTTGTTTTTTTTAATTAAGCAGCTGGTCACCTAACAATTCAGCTGACTGTTTGATCACATTTTACTATGATTTTTTTAAGAATGTTTGTTGTGGTAATTTCATTTAACAGTTTTTTAATTTTGTATTATTTCCCTTTCAGTTGAAAAGAAAATGCTTATCAGTCAAGTAGTTCGACAGATGGAAGAAGCACATGAACTGGTATAAATAAGTCTAGTCACAGTGTTTTATAAAAAATTTCTCTGTGTATTTATACTTATCATTTACAATACAAATATATACTTTGAATAAAAACCTGCAGCCTGTCAGCTGTCTATGTTTGCAATGTTCCTGAACATATTTAAAACATGCATTTTTACTATTTTTAGAAAAATGCAAAAAATAATCCAAAATATTTTAATTATACGGTTGTAAAATCTTTTTTTTACTTCTCTAATTTGTTTCAATCATTAAATCATAAATCCAAGTCATCCTGCTATCGCTTTTTCCGATGGTTATTTCTATAGATTAATTTCTATGCATTTTCAAATAATTTTGAAAGTCTTGATATTTTTTATAGACTGTTATTACAACATTCAAATTTAGAATCACGCATTTAAATAATAAATTTTTGCTTGCTTTATTTGTGTTAATTTTATCGTAAATGCTAGTGACTTTGTAATCATTTTTATGCTCTCATTGCAACCTCATGGTTTCAAAAATTGATATTTTTAATATATTATTACGATACTTGAATTGTGCATTTGAGTTATTTCTTATTAGTACACTTTATTTATGTTGTTTTCACCATAAATACAATTGATTTTATTATTTTTCTAGCAGTTGTTGTTACTTTTTTTTATATGGTTTTGAAAATCCTGATATTTATAATACAATCTTTACACACAAGAGTTTTGAATTGAGCATTTAAAAGATTGCTCTTTACACTCTTCATTTCTTTGTAAATCCTTTTTTTTTACGATCCTTTTTCGACAGTTAGCACAATGAATTTCCCCTTCATGTTTAAAATATTTATATTTTAATACATTATTGCTATAGGGGGGATCATTGTGACTAGCATTATTCAAAAAGTGGAGGAATACATGCATTTTTAACTGTTTATTGTTTGTAATTCTGTTACTCAATTTTTGAGCTTAGAAAGTGCTTTTTTTTTTTTCAAAAAATAATATTTAATATTTGTCACATCTTTTGTAAATCATTCTATACAAATGCTTTAAAATGAAAGTATATCCTTCATTAAACATCTGAAACTTTTTTGTGTTAATTAAAGTACTGAACTTGTATTTATTTTAAACAAGAAATTATTTAATTTTTTTATTGCTAAAATTTATTTTAAAATTGAATTACTTATCATATAAGACATATTACTTTTTTCCATTGTTTATGTGTGTGTATATATTCCATTGTTATGTGTGTGTATCTAAATCTATACACATATAAAATTAAATTTACATGAATTCATTAAGGAGTTAGTTGCCTCCAGGGAGCCAGAGCTTTGGCTGATATTGGAACTTCCCATGTTCCAAGGCACCAGCAGTTTTATCAGAGGCCTGCTACATTGTAGCTACATTGCTCATTAGCCCTACTTGCTGTAGAAAGATTATTATCAACATAAAAATGCATTTGTTATGATATAAGACCAAAAATGAAGAGGATTTAATAGATTCAATTCTTTTCTTAAGATTGAGCAAATAACTTAACTGTGAATTATATTTGCATTTTCTGTGTGAGCTAATGATTATGCTATTATTTTTTTTTTTTGAACTTTTTTATAGTTAAAATCTAAAACCTTAAAGCTTGCATGTACAGTTTAATTGCTGGAGGATCAAAAAATTTTCGATTCCCAGTTTTTGCCTCTAGTAGTATAGTAGTTGTGCTATAGTCAATATCCGCAATTTTGAATGTAATCATTTTCCTTTGACTAGGAAAAATTGTTATTGTGAATCAAAATATTTTTATACAATGTTGTGTGATATAGTACTGTATTTTTGAAGTATCTAATCTGGAAACATAGAAAAAAAATTTACTTCGTGAGAACTACTTCTCATAGTTATCAATATTGCAATTAAAATTTCAAAAAAAAATATGTATCTGATATGTTAAAAATCAATATGCTTTTTAAAAATACTGATGCATAAACTAATTAAATTTTTATATTTATGTAGCTTGAACAAATGGATTTAGAAGTAAAAGGTATGCCACCACCTTCTCGCCAAAAGTATGAAATTCGATTAAAGAGTTATGTTGCTGAACTCTCACTGTTAGATAAAGAATTGGTAAAATCTTTATAATATTTTTTTTCATAATTTATAAATAACAAAAGAAAAATATGCTTCCTCAAATTTTTAATCAAATCATTTTTATTTATATATAGCTTTTTGTTAAAGCAATAATTGTCAAGCTTTTATGCAGCGCAAGTAACCTTATAATAAATTTTATTTATCTGTGTGTCTTAAAAATACTTTTTTTTGTAATCAAAATTAAAGGTATGACTAAGAGTTTAAGTTTTTTCCCATGATATCAATATCATTATATCAAAAATTTACTAATGTTTAATAACAAATATAAATTAAGCACAAAACATAATTTTAAGCAATACATCATTTTTATTATTTTTAACATTTTTGAAGAATTTTCCTCATTTTAACTTGCACCATTTACAGAGCTGATTGTGCTCAGGAAAAAATCTGGATTTTCCGCTAATAGTGATCCGGAAGTTTCTGGAAATCGAAAGTCCAGACATTTCAAAAAAATCATTGATCACAGAAGTTTCCGGAAATCAAATTTTCAAAGGTGGAACTTAAAAACACAGTTTATTTTATTTTTTTGTAAGGGAGAGCCAGATACTTTATAAGCTTATATTCATGATTAATATTAATTTTTTATCAGTAAATAGTTATTATAATCATAAACTCATGAAAGANTTCAGTAAAATCACAGTCTCAATCTAATTAAATAGATATTACTGTGAAAATTACGGAATAATATTTTACGGTAAAAATGGATTTTACGGATGATGCATCCAAAGTGCCGGCACTTTTAACCGTAATTTGGTCCGGAAATTTTTACAGTATACGTAGCCACTGTAACAAGAAAGTAAGAAATGGAATGGAAAGTTTGCATCAAAATTGACGTTCTATAGCAGGGATGGCGAACCAATGGCACGCGTGCCATTTATGGCACGATACACATTATTTTGGGCAAGCCACCAACCACAAATGTTATTACACTATGAAGCATATGAAACAATTAAATTAAAGTTCACAAACACAAACAAAATAATAAAAAATTATTAATAAAAAAATTAACAATTAATGCTGAAAAAACAATTAATAACCATAAAAAGCAAGCTAACAATAAATAACTAGCAACAAAAATTAGCAGTCCTGCTTAAACTAACATCTTAAAACCTAATATAAGTTATTTGTCGTCTAATCTGAATCAACAGAAGTCACACTGATGTTACTTTAAGTTTTTTCAATGTAAATTAAGAGTTTTGATTTGATAGTATTTAGTATTATTATTTTTCCAATAATCACGAAGTCAAAAATATTTGACGGCACGTCTATGACCTCATTAAACAATTTTTTAGAAAAAAAATGGCACGTTGGTGTATAAAGGTTCGCCACCCCTGCACTAGTATATAAGCCATGTTAACTCGATTTTATCTTGAGGTACCTTTTGATAGATGAGGGTTGACATTGCTGAAAGCTCGTATGCTTCATTGATGATCTGCAGATGTGATATGACCTACATTGAAAGTAACGCTCACTTCTTCGCTTAGGTACGCCTACTTTGATTGATTATCCACATTGAATTGTCGGCTTGTTATTAGAGACTGTGTCATAGTCCTTCTAGCACTGTTGCTTCTCAGTCTCATTTACACATAATGGATTCCTGCACACACTCAACTGCTAATAACTCAGAAGAATACACACAACCATAAACTTAATATAGTTCTCAAGACAAGCCCTTAAAACTAGGTGCACTTAATACAGAGATGCCAACTTGCTCCGGACAGCAAATATATATTTTAAAGAGGTAGATTATCAATTGTGATTCTTGGTTTAAAAAATTCAATTAAGTAGATTTTTATCCACCACTATTTCTAAATAATTCGTTAGCTTGTACAATTCACCACTTAAAAGTATTCATGTCATGCTATACCTTTTAAAAAGCAAGCCAAAATAGTCAAATATTTGCAAAATTTACTTTGTTGTCATTTACCGTATTTTTAATTATTTTTGCTCGTCCGGAGCAGTTGGCATCTCTGTTAATACAGCATTCACCACAAGCGCTCAAAATCCGGTGAACTTAATGCAGCTCTCCCAGTCTTACGCACATACAGCAACTAGTGGTTTCCATTCATTGAAATCTATCCCTGATAAACTTCTGATGGTGGGGTAACTACCACTATGATTATTAAACATCAATTCACTGGTATATAAGTCCTGTTAACTCGATTCTATCTTGAGGTACCTTTTGATAGATGAGGTTTGGCCTTCGAAAGCTCATCCCCACACTAAGTAACTAGTTTTTCTATATTTTGTTTAAATGCAAAATGTGTGATGAAATCAAACAATAGTTATTGAGTTCATAGTAACTTCAATGAAGATTAATCTTGTCATTTAAGTATTATCCTTGTGAATAAAAACTTTTTTTGTTGCTATGATTATTGTTATCTTGTAATTCATAATTGCAGGAATACATACAAATGTATTATGTACAGTGAACTTTTCTTTACTTGAATATAGATCATTTTAAATATTGGTTCTCAATTTCCATTGAGTTATCGGTTGTGGGTGAGCAAACAATAATTCCACCCAAAATTTGTCATTGACCACAATTTAAAAGTTGTATTATTACAGTGAGGTCGCCCTAATTTAAACCACAGAGAATTATCTTAAGAGTTTCCACTCTTATACTAGAACCGATAAGATGTCAATAGGTTTTTTTTATTGACAGATTAACAAAACTTTGTCCATAATGTTTTTAGCAATGCTACAGCAAAAAACTTGACTGCTAATTAAATTGAGGAGTTTATTATTCTCTTTTATTATTTTTTTATTGAATTTATGAAGTTCTTCGTAATTGTTTGGGTTTTTTTTTATGTATAAAATGAAAGTATATTTTGGCAAGTAAATTACGATTTACTTTATTCTTAGTTATCACCATTTTTCTTATTATTAAATTGATTTCTATGTATAAAAAAATCCATGAATGAAACACACAATTATTCCTTTTAAACTAAAGAATTAATTCTAAAACGCATTATTATTGTCATTTTTTTTCCTCCATTTTCTCTGTTCATAGAAGAATTTGTTATATGACAAAAGGAAATAAACAGCACTAAATAAAAGTATGACTGAAACACTTTTTCTGTTTAATCGAAATAAAATCTAAAGTAAAAGATTTAAAACTAATTTGTAAATTTCATGCCCTCTTAGTATTGTACACATGATTATTTAGGTATGAAGCTAATAATACAATTATTCTGCTATGACTAAAAATTTTATAATAGCTCATTGGAAATTGTTTTTCACAGAAAAAATAAGTGATTTTAGCATTTTTTTTTTTATTTATATTTGTGATTTATTATATTAATCCCAATTGCATATTTATGTCAGCAGAAAGCTCGCCTTAATCCAAGAGATGAAAATGCTCTAAGAGATGAGTTATTTGAAGGAGACTATGTGAGGGATGACCAGGTAATTTTAGTTCATTAGTTTCATTTACATAATCTATGTGTGTGCACATATATATATATGATGATGAACTGAGTAGATAAATAAATAATCTGAATAAAATTTTAAAAAAAGAATTTATTTATTCATTAATTTTGCTCATTTTATTATTTACTGAACACTACTTTATCTTTAAGTTACCGTGATTATCTAGTCTTTCACTATAATGATTAAAATAATCTTTGTAAATTCTGCTTATAATCATTAAATAGTTATATCCTCTTATAAATAAATTTCATTTAATAATTTTTGAATGTATTTACAAATCTATGTTTTGAGAAAGTTCAAAATCGTTCCAAGCTTATCTTATTATTTTGTTAAAAATTCGTAATGACAATTAATGTTGAACTATTGGTTTTATTTGTAAACAGTCTTTACTAGAATTTATTTATTGATTTTGTTCAAATAACTATGCAGGTGTATGTGAACACTTTATTAGATTAGATTTTACTTGTTAATAAAAGTATACTCTGTACAAATAAAAGAGTAATTTTTAAATTACAAGAATCATTAATTACTAAGCTTATTATATTTTTGCTAAGATACTTGTGACTTTGCTTGTTAGTGTGGTTTGTAAAATAGCTACTTTAATTTTGAAAAGTGACCTTGATACTTTTGTTTTACATCAAGTATTTTTCTTTAATTTCTTTGGATTTGTCATAAAATCTTTCCATTTTGAAAATGATTAACTATGTTGAGTTCAGAAACTTATTGCATAATATAAGTGCATAACCTGTGGCTCAGAGGCCAAATGAGGCCTGTACAGTCTCTCACCTTGCAGCTACAAATTAATCAGGAACATTTGTAAATTACGATAATAAATTTCATGACTTCAAAACTGATAATAAACTTTGAAAGTACACAAAAATTAAAATTCTAAAATGTAGAGATATTAATTCAAGTTGTCAGAAGATTTAAATCTTCTTAGATTTCAATGCTGATGTTTTTTTTTTTAAAGGGAATTTTATTTGATTAAAACATGCTCAAAACAAATTTATTTCAAAGTTTTGGAACAGATTTGGAAATTCAGAACTTAAGTTCAGTTTTTCACTGGGAAAGATAAAAAATCAGCTATTACTTAATTGTTCTAAAGAAAGCAATGTTAGGCTATAACTATATAAAGCTTCTTAGCTCACCCTGATTGAGATTGTATATACCATTTTCCATAATAGTTTGTGTATCAGGCTGCTGACCCAAAGGTCTGTGGTATGGTCCAAACCAGGGGCTAACAAACATCTTTCTTGCACTCCGCCACAGAGAGCAATGAAGAAGAGAGCAATGCTTTTCAATTTCAGAATATACTTTGTAAATATTATGTATATTTTGTCTTTTCATTCAAAGGCAAAGTAATATTGTTCTTATCCTCCACTAAGGAATAATCAAGTTACTGTCAGTTGTACTAAATTTAAATTATTAGCAGCTCCTGAAAGTTTTTTTTTCTTTCGGCCTTCTTTTGAAAAAAATTATGCACTTTTTTGTTATGTTTTACTTACTTATATTAACTGTTGCTATAGTGTATTAAATCATTGTAAAAAAAATTTTTATTAGAAACAATGTCTTCTTGATAATACAGAAAGGCTAGAACGTTCTTCACGACAACTAGAGGGTGGTTACAAATTAGCTATAGAAGCAGGTAATGTATAATACTTCAGTATAGATGTGTTAACTCTAAAAAATAACCTTTATTTTTCTTTTTAGACAGCAATTCATAATTATCTTCTTTTTGTGTGTGTGTGTGTGTATGATTTAAGTATTCAAATAAGAATTCTACATTCTTTCATTCTGGTTATATGCATAAATACATATTTTTAAATCAATAAATGCATTTTTTTTTCTTCAAAAAATGATCTTGAAATTTTTTAAAAAATATACTAATTAGAAAGGAAAGAATTAGAAATTTCCTTAAATATGTAATTCCTGGGATGTCTTTTAGTTTATTTAAAATTTAGTAGTATAATAAGTATTTTATGCTTTTATTAAAAACAGTTTTTTTCACTGTTAAGTCTTGAAACTTTCATTTAATTTTACATATCTTTTATAGAACAAATGGGAGCTCAGATCCTGACTGATTTAAGCTCTCAAAGGGAAACTATAAGTAAATCCAAGTCAAGAGTAAGTTATTTGTGTTCTTTTTGTTTTTTGCTTTTTATATATTTGTATATTGTCAATAGAGATGCCAACTATTACAATTTATACTTCATTATTATGATTTGATAGTTCAGATTCGGCTGAGTGATGAAAGTTATGGTTTTTAAGAAATTTTTTTTTAAATCTGCTTAAAGTTATAAAAAGAATTAGGAAATTTTGTTATTTGCAACTAACCTTCAACAATAATTTTTTTTTTCTTTTACTTAAACAATTCTAAAAGCAAAAAACAATTTTATAGAAACATGAAATTAAAAAAAAAAAAGCTAAGAAATCTCATCTTCTCTCTGTATGGAAATGCAAAGAACATAAACTCAAATCTAAAAAAATTTTTAGTAGTTCAATTTGAATGCAGATTGTTTAAAAAGCAATAAGAGTTAGTTCTAATTTAACCAAATAACTAGAACATAAAATCCAAGAAACCAATTTAATTTTTACATTTTATTATGAAATATAAAATATCAGTGTCGTATTATTTTTTAATTTAGTACCTTTATCTAAGTGTCAAATAGTTTTTCTTATTTAATAGTAAATTCATGCCTTATTTTATTAATATTACATACAAAAATTAAGCAGTATGTACCCCTAAAATAGCACGAATGTTAATTTCGTAAATTCCAACTGTGTTATTGTACATCTGATAGTTTGGAAAGTTGGCACCTTTATATCAATTGCTATCTACAAAAGTATCAGTTCTTTGAGGTATTGCCCCAATTTAAACAGGGGTAAAATTCATGTTGGATTCTCGCATTTATGTATTTTGTTATTGATAGTGTGCGTTTCTAAGATCCGCTTTTTAGTAGCCTGAATAAGAGATCAAAAATGCTTGTTATAGTTTTAGTGTTTAATTTTATGAGATCATTTCTTGGGATGGTGTTTCAGCATTTTATTTTGTATTTGTTTTATATAATTCAGGTTGTGACTGACATTCCATCAGTTGTTGTTGTTGACATATGCCTGTTTAGGCAGAGGGCGTGCAATTGTTCTTGTTTTCCAGTGGTGCGATCTATGGCTAAGAATTGGACTTCTGCCACACCATACGTCACACCCGCTTATAGAGCGGACCCATTCATACACAGATCGTAATTTTGGCCTGAATCAGAGAACGATCGATCTCCAATCCAGTACCCCCAGAGATATTGATTTGTTATGGAAACATGCAGGACTTTTATGACTCGACGTATTTTACGTGCATCAGTCACTTTACTACACGGTGAGTCTTCAGCCGACGGGGTTCAAACCCACGAACTCTCGGACATGGGCCCAGCACCATACCGACCTGGCTATCCCGGTCTTATTCCATCAGTTGTCTCCACATAATTATCAAAAAATTTAAAAAATCTTGAGCATCTAGAAATGGATTACTTGTTTTGTAGGAATTTTAAGAATGAGACTAAATTAAATTTGGAATGAGTTAGTAACTAACAGTTTTAAGTTAGATGTGATAGAAAACGAAAGTAGCCAAAGAACTTATCATAATAAAGGATTGTTAACGATTCTCATTATCAAAGGTCTGTCGAACTAACAATTTTTTTTTATCATTATTTTGTAAAAAATTTTTTTTTAATAAAAATTGTGTGTAAAAGAATTTTAAAACTTTTTTCTTTAAATTCTTTTGCAAGTTTAGAAAATTTGTAAACTTTTTTCTTTAAAAAAGAAAATTTTTATACAAGAAAATTTTTAACTACCTTAGTTTGAAAAGTGACCATCTTTGTTGCTTTTAAAGTTATATTTTAGTCATACGAAGTAACTATATCAAATATTATTGTTACTTTAAATGAAACGAATTTTTTACCGTCTAAATTTAGTGTATGCAAATCCAGGGGTCTGTCTAGGTTTTTCTGAAAGGTACCTATTTTGTGAAATTTTAGAATTAATTTCTGAGAAATTAAAAATTATATTAAAAAATCAACACAAAAATATGGTAAAAATATGAATTTATCGTTTTTTAAGGGATGCAAAAATAAAATTTTAAGAAAAAGTATTTTGTGAAACTACCGTTTTTCATAAAGTTGAATTTGTGAAAGTACCGCTAAACGGTAGTAAATTCGGCCTGGACAGACCCCTGAAATCTATCATGTAATCTAACAGTGCGAAATAGTTAAGATACTGAGTTGTCACTATGTAAAACCGAAACTTTGACTGTGGCAGCAACTTGCTTGAGAAATGCAGTCAATTAGTGCACTTGCAACCATAATGCCGCTGGCGAAGCCTTGACCACCTTTGCCCTATAACTTGCAACTGCAAGAATGTTTTACTTTATATAAATTTAGCAAAATTGATGTTGAACATTTGAACAAAACTTAGACCCAGTGAAAATTATGCTATAAAATTATACTCTAAGACAATTATCCCAGAGTAATATTCAAATAAATATTATAGCAAAATTTAAAAAAAGAAACTTACAATATTTTCCTATATGACTAAACTGAAATGATTATGAAGATTTTCTAAAATTATCATGAGGCACACAAGACAGATTAATTTATGATTTAAAACGGTTAAAAAATATACTAAACTAAACTTAGCGACGCGACAGCCCATAGAGGGTCAAGGCCTGCTGTGCCCATCGCAGTTTTCTTGACCTTGGGCTCTGGAGTGCATGCGCAGATGTTCCTGATAGGTGGTCAGCCGAACGCGGAACCCCCATTGTTTAGTTCCCTAGAATGCTTGGTACTTGTTTATCGACCCACTGAAGGGATGAAAGGCTGAGTCAACCTTGCCCGGCCCGAGGATCGAACCCAGGACCCGTGGCACAGGAGCGCGAAGCTCTACCACTCAGCCACCGGGCGTCTAAAAATATTCATTCACATTAAATTATATGGAAAAAATATGTGATAAAAGTTTGACTATGGATCTATTTTTAAAATCCATTTAGGATATTTTATGCAACCAATTTTTTTAAAAAAAATTCTACAAAAAAAAATAATAAATAATTGAAAAATGCCTAATTTAAAATTGTCAGGAGCAGTCCTATACTGTCCCAGGAAATTTCCCCCTTTTTTTCCTATTTTTTTTCTTCAACACTCTTGTCTTATTAGATTTAATTATTATTTCCATTTTATTTTGTTATTTAATTATTATTTCCATTTTTAGATGCAAGAAACTAACTATGATTTGAGCAGAAGCTCAAGAATTGTTAATGGAATGATTAGAGGGTGAGAAATATTGATAAATATTTTTTTTTAATTAATGATAAATAGGCTTATTTTCAGTTGTGTGCTTTTCATAGTTAATTTAAGGAAAAAACAATGTTAACTATTTTGTATTATATATATATAACATTATATCTTTTTAGTGTTTACTGAATTCAGTTGAGATATAAATGAAAAAATATATGTCTAAATTATGTTTCCACAAATCAGTTACTCACCAATGTCTTTAAAATTAAATGTTGTTTAGTATAATTTTCAATAGTTCCAGGTAAGATATAAAGAAAAAATATGGCTAAATTCAGTTTCCACAAATCAATAAATAACTCACCAATATCTTTAAAAGATGGAAAGAAAAAATTTAATGTTGTTCAATCTAATTTTCAATGTTTTTTTTTCCTTCTTTTTTTTTTTAAGATAAGACACTATTGTTTGTATCTGATCATCTCTATGGATGTATAGCAATCAAACACTGCTTAGGAAAAATATCGGAAAACCATTCAAAAATTGCATTACAACATACAATTCTACATCCGCATGCGAGTTCATTAGTAGCAAGCAAACACTTATAAGTTTATTTTTTAAAAAAACTAGTTTTAAATTTTTTTATTGTAACTTATGCTTGATAATTCTCAATTAAGCCATACCAATCTTACTTATAATACTAGACTCGATTTAACATTACTGGTGTCAATTTTGGATTATGATGTAGCAAAAAAATCTTACTATTAAACTTTGATTTGTTAAAAATTTAGTTCTGAGTCATTTAAACCTCATAAGGAATAATCATTTTAACTATTTACCTTCTTTAAAATGACCCAATTTATTTTCCAAAAATCAAGCCAAAATAATTTAAATATTTTTGGTTATGGTCTTGATTTCTTGTTAACTTGTTTTTAAAAAAACTGACTAGATTATTAAATTGATTTACTTTCTTTGTCTGTATTCTATTCAGAAAAGCATAAGCAAAAACTTTAAAATTTTCTAATGAAATAAATTTTTTCCTTTAATTTACTGAATAAAACATATTTTTGAAAATACGAAATGATAAAATTTGGATTGAGGACATTTAAAAAGAAATTTTTTATGCGTTTAACTGCACATAATTAGCAAAAAGGACTTTCCTTAAATTATGTATTTAGTGTGAAATGAAAGCTAGAAAACAATACAAAAATTAACAATAAATTTATTAAAATTGGAAGGAAAAAAATTTTATTCCGTGTTTAAGAATGCGAAAGCTGGTGTTCATGCAAAGCAAACTATTTATAGCTTTAAGAAGTGTTTGTTACTAATATGTATTTTAATTAAGACCCAAATATGGATTACATTTTTGCTTACCAGAATTTTGCATACAAATTCTATTTGAACCCTCGCTAAAAAAAATTCCAGCTGCTATATGCTCTAACAAATTTTGAATTCTAGAAATATTATTTTATGCTTCCAATTTTCTTGCTTTTTTGTGTATTTAATTAACCTAAAACTAAGAGAAGTAATTTGAATAAATCTTTTGTTTTGTTTCTTTTTTTTGTTATTATTAGTTATAATTGTGCTCTCCACTTTACAGGATGAAACAACAAAAGATAATACTGTATGCTGTTGCTGCTGTAATTCTCCTGACAGTTATTTTGTCTATATATTTCACAATTAGAAAACATAGTTGAATTCTTTATTGATCAAATAATTAAGTTATAGGTATTTTAATTTATTTATTTATCCAGCATTTTTATTTACTACAGACATATTAAAAAATATTATTTTTGGATTATATTATCATATTATTTTGGTCTTATCTTTTAATGTTTAGAGAAAAAAATCAGACATGGTAAGAGAAAAAAAATTTTTTATTTAAACAAGTATGAGTTCTGAACTTAGATTTTAAATTTCCATTTTATTAATTTGTTTATGCATTTAATTTTTTTAAACTAAATGTGTGTATTCAATTATTTTCATGGACTTAATATTTTCTATCTGGGTGTTTCACAAAAGTCAAAGTTATAAATGTAACTTTTAAAAAAATTTCTGTAGTCTATACATATTTAATTCATACAACAAATGTAGTTGCTTTTTCCTGCTTTAATTCTTTTTTTGAATAAATAAATTTAAATAAAGCAAATTTGGTTTTAGGTGCTTTTCCATTTTGATTTAATGTTTTAATTGTTAATTTATCTTTTTGTCTTTTGCTGTATTTATAAATTAGATTCATTTTCTGATGAGATAAACAAATGTAGAGGTTAACTATAGCAACTTGAAATATGAAAAAACATATTGTTCAAAATTTGTATTCAAATGAAAATACAATAATTTTGTTTTAGTTTAGATATGTTCTTTAAAAATATGAACTTCTGTTTTAATGCAATTTTTTTATTATTTATTATGAAACAGTTTTAAAATTTGGGAAACTGAAAACTTTTAATTGCATTTTAGGTTGCATGTCTCATCAGTCAATAATCTAATTATATGGTGTGATGAAAAAATTAATTTTAAGTTGCTGTGGAACACCTTGAAACTGTTTTTATGAGTAATTGATATGATAACACTATATGACCCTTAGTATCTAGCACTCTATATTCTAAAATATGGGACACAATTAAAGTGTGTTTTTTTAAACAGCTACCAATTTATTCTATGATTAAAATCTAATGTTCAATACAAGACATTGGCTTTCAACCCTGAGAAAGCATTTACTACATTCTTGTTAATTTTCATTAAGTTCTAATGCTTGTATTTACTTTGCTTGCATTTAATTGCCCAGTATCGGAAACCTCTCTTTTTCATCTGCATCATGATCAAATTTATCTGTGCCATGTGCAGTAAAATATTTGTGCTTGGTAGATTTACAAGTTTTAAAAAAAAAAGACAATTAGAGGAACTATAGTTCGTTCACCAGGAGTTGGCACTTGGCTCCACCTTCATCACTTGATATCTGATGATGCTATTTCGTTATTTTTGGGAGAAGGATGTGAACAATCCTAATCAAGGTTGCTATTTGGCGATCCTATGACGAAAATATTTATTTTGTAATCTTTATGTGCATTTTTTTAACATTAAAGTTTCATATATTGAATAATATTTCTCTCTTTTGAGTGAGTAGTGTGTCCTTTGTGAGACATTTTGCTGGGACAGCAGCAGTTTTTAAATTTAAAATGTAATTAATTAGAGTAACAAAATGTTTAATAACGAATAATAAATCGAAGTAAGTGACTGAAAAAGAATTCACTGTTTGCGTTTGGTGCATATTAAGGGGTGTCTCAATTTCAAGCGTGAATATGTTTCTCCTTTACCCTCGCTGAAATGAACTCTGCGTCCGAGGAGGTGGAGCCAATTGCCAACTCCTGGTGAACAAACTGTAATTAACTGCTTCAACTTGAAATTAATACTTAATTAGAGGAGAAGAAAACTTAACTGACAAAGATAATTAAAAAAAAAAAGATAAAGTTAATGCAGGGACGACCATATTTTTTTTTTTTTTTAAATTTAACTTAATTTTGTTTGCAAATTTTGTAATGTTTGGTTTATTTTTGTCTGCAAACTCGAATTAAATCTGTGTGCCGCTCTAGTTCTGCTGCCAATATGGATTGTGTTACTGTTACATGTCTTTATGATTCTAGTATTCAATTTCATGTCACGTCTGAATCTGGCAAATTTAATTTAGTTGCAAATGAGTGTCACTCTTTTACTGGCACTATATAAAATATATAAGACCTGGTAGTTCATCATTTTTATAGGGGTGTCTACATACTTTGGTCCTATAATGTAGTTAAATCATTTTGTCTTAATTTGTATAATTTAATTGAATGCTTTTATGCATATCTAAATTAAAAGTGCCTAAAATTTTAAGTTGTTTTTAAATTTATCAATGACTATTTTTCCCCTCTATCTTTGTATATATTAAATGTTTTGGATCTGTCTATGTATATATATTTGTGAAACTTCTATTATGGTTGTTAACTTATCCGTCAGTAGTAACATTTATCTGTGATACAAAAATTAATAACAATTTATTGAGAGAATTAAAAACTATTTGATGAGTTACAAAAATTTCTACCTTGAGAAAATTATTCATTCAAATTATTATTTTTAGTTATTGAAACACATATTTTTTCTAATTTCGTGTTTAATTCTGAATTTTGTTTTTTCTTTTTTTTAAAGGACTTTAAATTATGAAAGAACATAATAATACATAACTACTATTAAAACTAAACTATTTATTTCAATAACTTAATTGTGCTACATAATTTATTTGAAAAACATAATTTATTATGTGTTAAAGTGTAAACATATTTTATTTACTTTTCGAATATAGAAATAAGCAAATAACTTTTGGTCTAGTCATAAGATGTTCGCATACTAAAATGCAATTTTAATGCTCACAAATGCATGCTAATTGATAATTAAATTGTGAAAACTGATATAAAAATATATTTCTTTCTGAATAAACATACCTACTTTTCAGTGAATTATGAATCTTATTCTTAACCCTCAAAATATGTGCACTCACTGTAAATTGTGGTCTCAGTAATTTGGTCAAGAAAGCAATTGAAAGTAACAGTTCTTTGATATTTACGTTTTTGCCAAATAGCTTGAGTTAATAACATGGATTAAAAATCCATTAACGTCATTATAAAACTGCTTTTTATAATCAATGAAAACATTTTTGCCCTTTATGGTGAAAATATGTTTAAATTTTTTTAAGAATTAAAGGTTTTTAAAAACTATTTTTACGCTTTCAATATTACATTAATTATTTGAATTAGGCAATCAGTTCCAAAAATATAGCTAAGACACGCTAAGTAACATTTAAGAGATCAAATAACATAAGTTTAAAAACTGCACCACTGAATTGAACAGTTGGGTCTACAATTTCCTAATTGCTGCTATCAATACTTTAAAAATTATTTAAAAAAAAATTCTTATTTTATTTTAAGCATAAGTATGCTTTTCTGGCGAATTTTTTAACTCAAATTATAATTATCAGGTTCGCTTTGAATAATTAGTACATTTAAGGTGTACCCTTGAACTTATTTGTACGTGATAAAATCTTATCATTAAATCAAAATATAGTTAGCAGGATTCATTTTTACTTGTAGTTTATTGAACGCAATACTCTTTATTTCTTCCAAAAAAATATTTCTAAATATTTATCTTTTTTTTAATAAGTTGAGTATTTTATATCAGTTGTGTATTTCACAGAAAATTTTTTTCATGAAGCATTTATATATAATCTCAGTTGTGCGTAAAACTGAATAAATAATATATGATTTTATTTCATATTTATATCCATATGTTTTACAATGTTTTTTTGAACGTATGAAGTGGGTCATAAAGAAAGGCAGACTAAAAGAAATCATTATAAAAAAAAAAATTCTGCCTGAACCTGAAAAAATTTCTGAAATATTTTCATTCGTACTGGCTTTGAGCAGCTGCATTGGTTAGTATGAAATGTAGAACCTTAAACTTTCTGTCCTGTTCCTATACCACGTTTTCACTATAACATAGATTTATATTATTGCCATGTGACGATGCCATCCATAAAAAAAATTTATCTGTGCTTTAAATTTTTTTTGTTAAAAAAAGCAATTTCCCGTAGTTTATTGTTAAAGAAAAATTACATTGTTTATTCATTACAAAACGTAACTTCCACCACTTGTGCACCACCCTTATGCAAGCCTTCTTAAGATTGCACTTCTTTATAACCCACCCTCTACATACCTTATAAATTGATGCAATTTTTATTGTATCATTGCTATTGTTTGTATTGATATAATTTTTATTTTGTTTATTTTAGATTGTACATAATAAGTATGTATATTAGATTCAAAATAAATTAAAAAATTTTAAGATTTCAGTTTTATTTATTTTTATCATTTTTGTAGTGCGTGTGGAAGCAGGTTTTCGTAAGAAAAATGCAGGGGTTGTAGTTGTCCTAATTTTCCTCATAAAAATTATTTTCTCTTGACATCATTGACATCTTGTAAGAAAAATGCAGGGGTTGTAGTTGTCCTAATTTTTCTGATGAAAATTATTTTCTCTTGACATCATTAATGATTTTGCTTATGAAATTTTCAAGTTTTTTGAGTTGGGCTCACAATTACCCCTGATGCAAGAGCACTATAAAAAAAAATTTTAAATTGTATTAGGAATTATTAACTATTAGGAATTATTCAGTGCTCATAATAAAATCATAAAGTAATAAAATCTTGCTAGAAACCACTAAAGATGCCTTTTCTAAACAAAATAACTTTGAAATTAAAATAGTATATTTTATTATTCTTTTTTTTTTTTAATTATGTAGGTAAAATTTACCTTTATTATACCTTAGTAGATACCTTTTTTTTTTATTTTGCAGTTTTTAAAGTAGTCTATATGTATATTTTGCCTAATTGTGTTCGAACTTTTTTTGAAAAATGGTGTCCTGATTTTTTCTTCCTCCCAAAGCGTGAAAGGTAATAAATACACGATAAATCTTCTGCTGCTCATAATCGATTAATGTTTTTGGTGTGTTTTCGAGCTTCGTTAGATAAATTTAATGGAATAAATATGAGTGCAATTTTTTATGTACTATACTTTAAAATTTGAATTAAAAATATAATTACTTATAAGATTATATTGGCATATAAAGTACAGAAAAAAATTCATATTTTTTGTCTTTAGCATTTTTTTTTTAATGTATTTCTGGTATACATTGAAAAAAACAACTGTACATACTCTACAAAAAAAAAAGAGATTTTTTCTTTTCTTTTAAACTTTAGTATAACGCACGTTCT